ACAGGGAAAATATTTAACAAGCTTACCATTTAAATGACTGCAGCCAATTATGAACACATGATTATTATTCAGTAATAAAACTGAAGACAGCAGCAACATGGGGCTAGCTGCTTATCCCAAATGCAGAGATCTTATGGGTTTCATTGGCCTGAACAAACACTGCCAGTCTTGATGAACTACATGCCATATTCACCTCCACAAGGTTATCAAAGAATGAGTCCTGTTTCTCAAGTTGACCACGCACGAACACAAGTCGTTCTAACCTCACACCTCCTGTGGATATGAAAGGCAGACGATTTAGAGTTGGTGCAAAAACAGATGTGACACACATAAATGTAAAATCATAACGAACAATTAAAAAAGTGTCTGGTTTTATTAAATTAAGGGTTCCAAGGTAAAGCTTTTTATGCAGTGCGCAAGGTTAGTTTCAAGAAGGATTTAGGTGCTGTCATTGAATTCAACACAAACCAAGGTAAGCGTTTTGCAAGTGTGTTCCCACCACCACATTCAACATGTATGAGAACACCACATTACCTTTTTAGTCTGTGTTGCAGATCAAGCTGGTTGGTGTGAGCATTTGGGAAACTGCACTGAGTGCATTCAGCTCTTCAACTACCCACATCATGCTGGAAAACTGATGAAACTGGAAAAATAAAATAAAGAAAGACCATAAATAACAATGTCTAAATCAGTTGTAGTTCCCCATATAAATTTAGCTTGACTTTAGCTTGTCTAATCTTACAGGAGCGGTTTGCAAAAACTATGCAAATGTTTTTTGGCTCAATTTAACAGTGCCATAGCTATTAGTACATTGAACATTGAAGTTTTTTACCTTTTCTCTAACAAAGCATCAAAGCAACATTTTCCTAAAAATTTGAATTAAAATTTGGATAAAATGAATGCTTACTTTGACCTATTATCAAGCATATTAGGAGTGCAACGCAGTTAAATTGTTTAATCAAATCGATAAATATTTTTTTTAAAATAAAAATTTCTTGGTGTGATAAACTAATCTGAACTCTAAACTTACTAGGTTAGTGTTTTATCTACCTTCAACATGATCTCGTTGTAATCAAAACACTGGCTCAGATAGATAGTCTGTATGAAAGCAAGCCAATAATAATAATAATTATACTAGCCGCTTAGTTTTTCAATAATACAAGTCAGCTGTGTTTGTATATATAATCATAAAAAATGTGTACCTGACATTGGGCAAATATTACTGTTGTTTTCTGGGTCTATTTTAAAACCAAGTGTGGTTAATTAAACAAGGTGTAGGGAGAGCTGGCTAGCTCCTCCACCTGCAGTAAGAAGAGGAGATGATATCGAATGCACAGGTTCAACCATCATGGGCTGCCAATCATAATAGCTCAGGTTCCTTGAGTCGGAATTTGAAGTTGAGTGCAGTAGCCTACATGACAGCACATCAGGGCAATCAGTAACTGTGATATCTTTCTTTTTCATCTACACCTGCTGCAGTAAAATTAAGGTTGTAATTTTAAATAATATTACGAAGAAAATGTATTCATTTCCTGTTAGGCCTACAGCTCATTTAGGCTGTGCAATCATGATAAAGTGTCTTTAAGAGAAATCTAGATACAATAAACTAAATAGCATAATTCATTTGAATAAAGGTCGAAACACAAAGTAAAGGTAGATGTATTTTTGTACAATACAACAACAGTGGCCAACATTTTCAAATAAAGTAGCCGATAATCATTTGACCACACGAAAACAAAACAAAAACAGTCTTCATAGGCTATATGGCCCGCCCGGTATCTACTTGGTGCAGTAGTGCAAGCAGCATGGGAAGGAAAGGATGCGGCTGTGCAAGTTGTGTTCATTTTTACATCGGGCGTATACTGCCCTCCAGTGTTGGAAGGATGAATAGTCGATAAAGAGGGCGGTCACAAGAAAAGCAACAATTGTTCTTAGTAAACCAATTGAATCAAACGACAACAAATATTCACCAAATGTTCTTTTTTAAGGTCATAGATTGGGGTAATTTTATATCTTGAAAGACAAACAGCAGTTTTGTTTTTTAATATCCATGAACAACAAACTAAAAAACGTGATCATGAATTTTGAATAATACAGTAAGGTATAGTATAGATTTCCATAATGTTACTAAAAAGAATGTGTCTCATTTTAAAACACGAGTTATTCATTATTATGCATAATCAGCATTCAGCACTATAGGTCAGGTAAAAAAAAAAAGTGTTTTGATGGACTATCACCAAAAAGGTTTAATATCATGGGATTTTGTTGATTTGTTTTTAGAGTCTTGAAAACACAATAGCCTATATTTTTATATAGCCTAATCATAAGCTCCCTTCATAAAAGTAGACTGAAGACGAACTGATCTTCATTTTTTTTAAACTCTACTGTTGAATTTAAACTTTTTACCTTTTTTTCAGCAAAATATTTGCCACGTCTTTTTCTCTTTCACCCGAAAGTAAAACAAAAAAAGTAGATCTTACCATACCATTGAGAAGCACCCATAAGGGCCCGTTCCACTTGCTTTCAGTCATGTCAGCTCATGGTGATGTCTTTAAGAAATCGACCCAAAAGAATCTTGGGAAATGAAGGAATTGTTGAGTGCCACTATGTTGTAGTTGCGCCATGTGGCCACGTGGGTGACTTTCTTATGGTAACAGTGTTCCCCTGCGAAATAAAGTCCTGTCACATAATCCTTTCATAAATGCAGGGACAGAAAAACCTCCAATAGTCACAATCACGAGTTTTTAGGGTTAACAACACTCACCTTTGTTCATCACAGCTGTTTCTGAGGCGTAATTTACAGTAAATATATTTACTTAATATTGAAGCCATATCTTATTTAATGTTCTGTTAACCACATTTTTGTGTTCTGCCAAAAGAATTTCTGTATTTTGCTTTAACTTTTCACTTAACATCTACTACCCACCGTGCTGTTTATCCCGAAAGCTTAAGATAAATCAGAACCTATACTAGTATTTGACATTTTTTTATTCAATTCAATTCAATTCAATTTATTTTGTATAGCGTCAACTCATAACAAGTGTTATCTCAAGACACTTTACAAAAAGCAGGTAAAATACCTTACTCTTTGTCTGTTAACATTACAAAAGAGCAGGTAAAAAGACCTTACTCATTGTTATGTTACAAAAAGCAGGTAAATGACCTTACTTATTGCTATATTACAAAGACCCGGCCTATCCATCATGAGCACTTTAGCAAAGCAGCAAAATGTTCTGGCAGGCCGTCAACCAACGATCTTGAGGAGCCTAAGAGAGCTCAAGAGCTCTCAGGAAAGTAGGTGGTTAGTGACTGAGATTTACAGATAGATACATGCAGTAATATGATGTACTGTATATGCACAGAGAGAGAGAGAGAGAGAGAGAGAGAGAGAGAGAGAGAGAGAGGAGCTCAAGGTGCCAGTTTCCCCGGTAGTCTAAGCCTATAGCAGCATAACTAAGAGCTGGTCTACACCAGCACTAACTATAAGATTTATCAAAAAGGAAAGTTTTAAGTCTATTCTTAAAAATACAGACTGTGTCTGCCTCCTGGACCCCGGCTGGAAGGCGGTTCCAGAGGAGAGGAGCCCGATAACTGAAGGCTTTACCCCCCATAGTACACTTGGAGACTGTAGGTACCACCAGCAGGCCTGCACTCCGGGACCGCAACGCTCTCGAGGGACAGTACAGCACTAGCAGCTCCTTCAGGTAAGATGGTGCCTGGCCATTTAGCGCTTTGTAGGTGAGAAGAAGGATCTTGAATTCTATTCTAGACTGTATAGGGAGCCAGTGCAGAGAAGCCAGGACAGGAGTGATGTGGTCCCATTTCCTGGTTCTGGTCAGTACACGAGCTGCAGCGTTCTGGACCAGTTGAAGAGTCTTTAGAGACTTGCCAGAGCACCCTGACAAAAGAGAGTTACAATAATCCAGTCTGGAGGTAACAAATGCATGAACTAGTTTTTCTGCATCATTTAGCGACAGGATTTTCCTGATCTTGGATATATTAGGAAGGTGAAAATAGGCTGTTCTTGAAACTTGACTGATGTGAGAGCTAAAAGACATATCTTGATCAAAAAGATCTCCTAGATTCCTAACAGTGGTGCTAGATGCCAGGCTGATGTCACTAAGGACAGTCAAATCACCAGAAAAAGTCTCTCTGGGGTTCTTAAGGCCTAGCACAATAACTTCAGTCTTGTCTGAGTTAAGTAGCAAAACATTTCTGGTCATCCAGGTCTTAACGCCCTTAAGGCACGTTTCTAGCTGACATAACTGACTGGTGCCATCGGGCTTCATTGATACATAAAGCTTTTACATTGACAATAAAATGTAGGCCTGAGGCTTAAGCTTTTTTGTTTGTGATGTGAACATCATCATGGGCGGGTCCATTGAAATGTATAGGTTAGACCAGTAATGTCTGACCTTGTACACCCATACCTGGACCTGCACAAAAATTAGGATGGCAGAAAAATAAGGTGGCTAGGGCATTTGACCTCAATGCAATAAACTTTTTTCATTGAGCTCCAAAAGCTGATTATATCCAGGTTGACGATGTGAATGTTAGCCAGGAGACTAGCACTATTGCTACTGATCCAATACACATGCCCTGATATGATTAAATGGCATCTGCAGAGGGCCCATTCACATTTCAGAGGCCCAGACATCTCTTTGGGCGGGTCTCTGGACCAAAGATGCTTGTGATTGGTTAATGATTGCGAGCTCCTTGTACATTCATACAGCACTGAACTGGGTGACAGTACAACCTGAGTTTGCCATATTAATGTTTACATTGTCCTTAACAAAAGAGCCTACTGACAAGAATTTACAGTTTTATGTGGAAAAGACTTCTCAACTATTTTTTGCTACCATGTACAGTAAATGTCATGTGTGCACAGCAGTATTACTGTGCAGTAACAGCAGGTATCCACCAGATGGCAGCTTTGTTCCTAGCAAAGAAAAATGCAGTTATTCTCCATAAAAGCAAAGCCATATTAAGAACACCAGATCATATTCAGACACAAAATATTTTATTTGAAGCACTTATTTCTGACTGATATACATTATCCAACAGCTTATTTGTCAGCCCACGCCGTATGCCTTTAACAGAAAGCCATTACTTAGCATTGCGTCACTTTACCGTCGATCACATCAGCAGATCCACAACTACCAAGTCCATACAAAAAAAATCACAAAAAATGCAGATGGCAGTCAGCGAAATATCGAAACCACATCCATGTTTCTATAGTCCTTTTGACTGCTTAGAGATATTTCTTCAAACATTATCAAAAGCTATTTGTTTCAAGAATATAACAACATTAGCCTCTTTACAAAACTCCCTCTGTTATTGCAGCAGCAAACAAAAACTGAGAAATATCTAAAAGATGTAGACCTAAAATTGTAACTAATGTGCTCAGATGCAAAAGGAAACTGGTGTGATTGTGTCATGGCAGCAGTTTGTTTTTATTGGAAGCAACTTGGGTCATGACCATGAACTGCTGAAGAACTCTGGTATCTGATTTGACTAAAGACCTAAAGGATCAACCCACTCTGTGTGGAAATGTGCAAGCAGCAAAACACTAGTCTGTTGTTTTCTTCAAAGAGAGCCTAAGATACAAGATCCATCTGTGTGTGTCGTGAATGGCTAGTTTTCCTTTAACTTCCCAGAAAGTGCCTTTTAGCAGCAAACATCATGCCCTTTCTCTTAAAAAACAACAACTAGGCCTATTGCATTTATTATCAACATGACCATGGTGACATCAGAGGAACAACTGTTATTAGGAATGTGATTCACAAAATCACAAGATTTCAGTATAAGCTTTTTTTAAAGACTACCTGAATTGTTGTTTGTCTTTGGCAAATGTGCTCTATGTAGGGACTTCAGTGATTACACATTATAAACAAAATGGTCTTCCCTTCATCTCTTATCAATGTACTTTTAAACTGTAATAGTTCATTTTAACTTTGAAAGATTTTCAGACTCTCTCAGAAGATTACAAAGTTTCTGACAAGGCTGTTTTAAACTTCTTCTTTCTTTTGACCGAAAAGGCACCGTGCTGTACCTGCTTTGTAAAGAGCATATTTGTCTGGTACAAATATTCAAATATTTGCTTTTATGCTGACTTCACTTTGACCTTGAGTCACATGAATGCATCACTGATCAGAGATGAAGTACAGCTACAGCCGTTTGTCGATCATAAACGTATAGAAGTCAAATATTTGCTGTTTTAATCTCAATCAATCGATCATTATTTGTATGGTGCCAATTCATAATAAATGTTATCTGAAGACACTTTAAAAAAAGAGCTCTTTGTTGTATCATATATTTATATCATGTGTTTACAAAGACCCAACATTAATCCACCATGAGCAAAGTAGCAAGAAGCAAGGAAAGACATCCTGTTCTTGTTTCTCAGGAGACAATCTGAAGCTTTCTTCTATTATACTGTATATAAAAAATATACTATCCTTTGTCGAGCCTCTCACTGTTGGTCTTCTCGAGGTTTGGGGAATTTCTGTTTTTAAAACTATTCTTTGATATTTTATTGACCAAAAATGGACGGTGAAAACAACATTAGTTGCAGCCCTAGTTTGAGGAATACTATTCCTTCCCAGTCAGAGTCCTCTGATAACTGTTACATAGTGTTACAGCAGTCCAAACTGTATACTCAGTGTCGTTTGCATAGACCTTATGTTGCATCGTTCGTAAAGCTCACTAACTCTGCTTCCTTCCTTTTAATACAACTTTACACAAATCTTTTGTTTCCAAAGTCATCGGTCAACTAGGTAATAGTTTCTATTTAATATCTATTCTAGCTATAAAAGTGCACCTAACCAAACTGAACACAGTGAATACACAAAAGAAAAGAACCTACAGTCACTGTCATTATTACTGTATATCTACGTTTGGACACTAAGAAAGTTTTCATTCATTCAAAACTAAAAGAAAAAAGTTTTTTTTCCCATTTAAGGCTGCAGACACATTAAATTGCCATGCAAATGTTCACATTCCACTGCAAGCAGGCGATGACGCACCAAGATAGAGAGCTGACACTGAAGAGTGTAAATAAGGTCTTCTGCTTATTTCCAGTTTTGCTATTACACATTTGTTGAGATATTCTGGATCACACACACACACACATTCACACACACACTATGTAACCCTGTCAGGCTTTTCAGGCAAAGTGAGAACAAAAGGAAACAGAACGCCTTTCGCTTCCAGAGGCGCCCTGAGCGGCTCCTCTACGAAGTAGGCGTTCTCCTCCTCCACTACAAACTGAAGAGTCTGGCTTTTGTTCACACAGTAGATGCAGTTCCCGATAACAGCACACCTGAAGGGTAAATGACTTCCAAGCCTCTGCGATGCACAATCATGCCACATTTTCACTATGCTGTTGTACTTGAACACGTTGATCCCCAGCTCTCTGTTCACATCGAAGCGGTAAATGAAGCTCTTCAGAGCCACCATGTCTGTGGACTTCTTCCTGCTGTTGTTGTACGGACACTCCTGCCACTCGTCCCTCTTTGTGTCGTACTTGAGAAGGCGGTAAAAGAGAGAGCCTCCTGAGACGTAGAGTTCTCCGCTGCACGTCGTGGCTTCGTGCGCCACAGCGAAGGCTCCCTTCGGCAAGGGGGCCACAGTAGTCCATCTGTCCATGCGGGGATCATATTTTTCCACTGTAAACAAACATTCCCCTCCAATGGCATACAGGTAGCCATCCATGGACACGAGTTTTAGCTGGGCACGGGCCTGCATCAGGGGTCTGACCTCAGCCCAGCTACTGGTTATTGGGTTGTAACAGAAGACCTTGTCTGAAACCTTGCCCTTGTCTCCATAGCCCTTTATCCCCCCTGCCACAAACAGGTAGTTATACATGGTACAGATGCCACACCCTTTAGTGTTTATGTCCTCAGGCATCGCTGTCAAAGGCCTCCAGTCGTTTGCTGTTTCATTATAGTAGTAAATCATATGATTCTCCTCCAAAGACCCAAAGGACAACGGGCTCTGTGGCCGGCTGCCGCAGCGGCTCGGCGGCCGACTTCCAACGCGATCAAACACATCATTAATCTCTGCCACCATGAGTGTCTTCCTCCCCTCCATCCTCTTCTTCAGGATAAGATCGCGCTCAGATCCAGTCAGGCGACCGTACACAGACGGGTCTTTGAGAATCTGGAGGAAGTTGTCGCTCATGAATCCGTAGGCCGTCTCCTTCAGTTCGCTGAGCCGCTGCTTTTTGGCGATGGTGAGAATCTCGTAGCAGTTCTCTGCAGTGACTTGTGCAGACATGGAGTCCATGGCGGCCTGGACGGCACAGGGGATCTGGAGGATTTTAGCCCCTGTGATGACTTCTACTACATTATCCTTGGAAACATTCATTTTAGAGGTGTAAACATAGTCGATCAACGTGGACAGAGTCTTGTAACTGATGCCCTTCACTTTCAGGATGTCCCGTGACAGCCGAGCTTTGAAGTAATCACTTTTTTCGGCCAGAACAGACTTGTGAGCGCTGATCCTCTGACCGCCCACCTCGATGACTAAATCAGGATCTTTTTTAGCCATCGTGTTCGCCTCGATGCTGTCTCTGCGTTCAAGGTTTGATTCCAGGACTGACCAATCAGTTTCCTGTTTGGCCTGGCCGGGCGAGCTTATGGAGGAGTCTGAATTGTCAGACACTTTAGCTCTGGCGCCATTGTGGATCTCACTGCCTGTACAATTTTGTTGCATGGTAGAAATGTGATTGGTTACAGCAGAGTCAGCGTAAGGAGAGAGGTCAGGAGCGGCCTTATCATTTGGGAGGGAGAACTTTTCAGTTCTTGAGATAAACGAGCCGTTACCTTGCTGATGATCCACATTATTATTCTCCATCAGTGTCCCATCCAACAGGTATTCCTTCTCGAACACAGGAGGCGGGCTGAAATCCTGGCTGTCCTTTAGGAATCCTTGGACGTAGCCTGGACATGAATTCATATCTTTGTCAGAAGGCGTGACAAGTTCAGGGTTCACAGCATGGAGGATGACATCTGCCTCCACCGTGATGGCCCCTCCTCCCTGCCTGCAGCCCTCGTTCATTTTGACACACTCACTGCTGACGGGAGACGGCGTTTCCGTCGATCATGCTGAGTGGGTGGAGAGTGGATGGAGAAACTTGCGATTGCACTCCTCTCTGCTCACCTACATGAAGGAAAACACAAAGAGTTCAAAGAGTGGTTTGGATATCATTGATGATGATGATGGTAATGACGATGGTTTTTGTTTAATAACAACGACTTATAAGATGGTTTCTATACTGATTAGAACTCTCAAGAACTGCCGTCAATGTTGTGCTTTGCCTCTGTTCACTTCCTGTCAGCACCTGTGTGTCCAATCAGACTCAAAGCTGATCGTTTGCTCTTACTGACATTGTTCCCTTTTTTCTAGATCCTTGCTTGTGCTGTACTCACTCTCTGATGTACGTCGCTTTGGATAAAAGCGTCTGCTGAGTGAATTGTGGAATTGTAGAGTTCATTTAGCAGAAGCTCACAGAGAAGTGAAAAAATGAGCCTTCAAGCTGCAAAGACTTCTGTGCTCTCTTAGGGGCGCCGTTTCTCTAATAAAATTAGAAGCTGTGAAATTTGCAGGAAACATTACTTAGTGCTTGTGTAACACTCCTGTATAAAATGTGTCAGCAATGCAGTCAATACAGCTGCAGCAGCACTGACCTTTTTTTTTCTTTTTTTTTTTAATGTACAATAATACATCCAGTTGAACAAAGACTTAGCATGCAGCTTCTTGTTGGTGTAAACTGCATGACCTACTGCAATAATCACCCAAGCCTGTCCATTATTTGTGTTAATCTGGAGCCAGTCACAGCGCATGCGCAAATACTGTTGAGCTGATGGAGGAATTAATCTCCAACATAACTGAGAAAGGGTGTTCAAAATGACATCATGACTCTTGTTTACGCATTCCCTGATAATGTCGGACAAACGCATAGAAAAAAAAAAAGCGGTTTATTCCTCCATCAAATCAATAACACATGGGAGTATTTTTACACAGAACTCATTTTTAATCAAATTAGTATTGACGTGTGAGGATTTAAGTCTACTGGCAGCGTAATGTGACTTACCTGCCTATCCTAGATGCAGTTAAACAGCTCGGCAGCCCCAGTTTCCCCGCCAGTCTCCCCACAAAGCTCGGTTACGTAAGGAAGTCGCAATCCTGATGAAGCAGCCGGGCTGTGCTCCCCTGGATGACATTACCGTACAGACTATCGCAGCTGCTTTATCCCATCCGTTTCCCTTTCATCCATCCAAACACTCCTACCGTTGTCTCATCCGCTCCTGCACTGAAACCTCCCCCGGGTGGAGGGACGGTGTCGAGGGAGGGAACCTATCAAATAATCATTTTACTGGTCGCACCTCCTTCAGGATCTAGTCGTTGTCAACTAATTCCCTTCCTGTGGAAGTGGGGTGGGCGCACGAGCCGTCCACCACCACGGACAGGCAAGCAGAGAAACCAGCACGCGGACTGGCCAGGACTCTAATTTTGTTGTCTTTCTTTTTTTTTTTTTTTCTTTCTCCTTACAGTTGACTACAGTGAGGTGGTTGTCATTGATCTAAACCACGCCCCATCTGTCGGATTTAACCCTACACTCAACAGCACGAGCACGAACCCCATATGTTGGGCGCGCGCTGGACGCTTCACAGAGACATTCCTTTACGCATCATCCCTGTCCTCCTGGGTACCACTACCAGTGGGTGGGTGGGTGGGGGGGACCAGGGGCGGAATATAGCCTATGGGGAAAACCCCATCACATCCCTTGCAAACAAAAAAAAACAATCTAATACTAATTTTATCATAAAATGAGTTGCCATTATTGTGGAATAGGCCTACAACAAGATATATAATACCTGTTAAAATGATAGAGCGGTGCTGATGCACTTAAATCAAATTAAAGCTCCGCAGGACTTTGGGGCTCCCTGTGGACAAAGTGGTATGAATGATCTATTTGTAGTTTGTGTCCTGTGCATGTAAGTAATGTTTTTGAACAAATATCTCACCCTGCTTTTTATTCCATTAAAATGTATCACTCATTATGAAGCTTTGTCATGAAATACTTCAAAAACTCCCTTCATGTAACACCTACCCCATGGCAGTGGTTTCCGGCATTGACAATAAATTGCATGTAGGAATAATCAATCTCGACACTGAGGATCTTTTGTTGTTCTGTAGCTCATAAAAGGGCTTCAACATTAATCTCAGCCTGGTTCATATCCTGCTAAGAAGTCTTCACAGGAGCTTTAAGTACCACACACTCTGTTCCCCCAATGGGATTTTTATGTTAAGGCAAGTCTATTAAAAAAAAAATCAATACAGACTCCATTAGTATACACCTACCTGTTTTTGCATGAGACAGTTTATCTCTACATCTTTAGGACTGACATGACATCGCTCTCTGAAACAAATTGTGAGTGTTCACTCTAGGCAGGTTTAACCACAAAAAAAAAAAAAAAACAGCCTGGCAATGTTATAGAGATGAGTCACACTTCCTTTTTGGAAATGATCCAACACCATTTTTAACTAATACAAAAGCCTGAGGCAAATCACAATGCAGTATGAGGTACTTAGAAACAGCAGTAATGTGTGTGGTAGGGAAAAGATAGCCTTTGGATTGTTTTTGTGTCATACTGTGATTAAAGAGGCACGCAAGACATATGCCCTAAACACATGAAAAGGCCTGATTAGAAATAGCACAACCTCACAAGGCAGGAGTACCAGCAGATGTCTTTATCCAAGGTCTGTAACCTCTCCATCGTGGAGACTGTCTGTCGTAACAACTGGCCTTCAATTATAAAAACAGAGGGGGAGCAACCGCAAGGTCATCAAAAAACTATCAGCGCTGTAAGATTAGAGAGCTAAGAGGTTTTAATGCTAGATATTCTGAGAGCAAAGACTCACCAAGGACTGATGTACACAATGAGTTGTTACTATGGCAACCTCTGGGTCAGAGGGAAAACAACAGACTAACTGATAACTGGGTTTCTTAGTTTGTACAGTGGGTCTAAGGCGTTGCTCTACCTTTTAGTAAACAAAATTGAGCAACAAAAGTTCAATATTATCTTAGGTTTAAGTCAGAATGTTAGTTTCCACAACAAAAGTCACGTCAGATTGTATTTTGGATCGGCGCTCAGGAGCAACTCCAGCCTGAGATCAGCTAGTCTATTTTCATAGGAACAGATAACAGTGTGAAACATAGTTGTGCAACAGTGATCGTGGGCGTTACAAGAGAAGAAAAAAAAAGCCTTGACCCCCCTCTGTTCAGCAGTAGGAGAAATGAGCAGCGAAAATCCCAGAAGAGCTGTACTAGGCTCAGTTCCTGCAGCCCCTCAGGCACATTGCTAGTCCCAGCATGTACTGATGGCTGCACACAAGGAGAGTGGAGTGCAAGGTTAGTTGGAGATGGGAGAAATAGCTATGCTGACACTCTCAATCCCACCTCAATCTACAGAGAGGTTCCCACAAAGTGAATGTGTATTTGTCAGGAGCAGGCATTAATATTATGACTTTACTGAAGATAAAAAGTGAATGTGTGTATATTCTAGTGAAAAAAGCCCCACAAAACAATCAAAACTGTTATCATAATGAAAAAAGAAGGTCAAATGAAGTACACAAGGGTAGTCAATAAAAGTTTATGAATTTGTTAATACAAACAACAGTAATACAAAGAAATAGTTATAAATGTATAAAGCTTTTTGTGTGTTTTTTTTTAAATATCCTTATGTGAGAAACAAAGATGCATGAGGGGAAATAAAAATGTCCTTGTAATAACAACTCTTACATCCCTTTTTGAATAGAAACCTGGCCAGCCAGAGATTCTCATCAAGCCTTCTCATATTATTTCAGTCATCAATATGTCTGCTTTTTTTCATCCCGTTCCTTGGTTAACAGCTGGTGCGATAGTAGAATGATTGGATTCCATAGAAACACTGAAACTTTCTCTTACCCAAAACTCATACACACGTAATCCTGAGTTGTCAAACTTGATATTTACAACTCGTGCCTTTACAGATAACATAAGATCAGGCCACAACATGATCCTAATTTTGATCGAACTTTCATGTCAAAGATTCAAAGCCTCATCAATACCTTATGCGCCTCTCAAGCAGAACTAAGTCTGTTTTCTTTTCAACACTGTTTTTAAATACTGCAGTCCTTATCCAGTCACCTTGTATGGCACTAACACTGGAGAGTAAACTATTAGCCATGTTACAGACAACAACTGATGAATGAGACCATGAAATTAAAGACCTTTCAGTGTTTTTTTTAAACAAATATATCCTTAACAAGTACAGTATATCTTTTCATTGGTCTGTGGAGAGTTGTTCTTGCAGTAAAGCATCGTGATTGAGTGGTTATATATGGATCCATTGTGTTTCCATGGTATCAGACATCATTTAAAAACATCAGGGGAATACTGTGGAAAGTTTTTGATGCACTTCTGGTTTCAAAAAGGGATTAAGTTGTTCTGATGTGATCGAAATGTTCAGTCGAGTGTAACAACAAATCTCCCTGTGAGCAGCACTTTTGTTCAAACCTAAAAAAGAGAGAAAATGTATATTAGATTTCTATAATGTAAGTACTTTAAGTTTTACTGGGACAGATCAAAAGTTATCTACTTGCTTTTGTGTCACATGTTGAGCAAGGGGATCTGCCAGATCATGATGGAAGATGTTGTGTCCTCGTGCCTAGACTGTTTGGTCTTTTTGTTGACCTTGCGGTGGCCCAACCCTCCAGACACCACCAGCAGAGAGCTGACGTCCACCTTGCTGGATCGGCGGCCTCTCTGGTGATGGGCGGGGTCATGGAGCAAGTCGTAAAGGGCGCCGTCCTCGGGCCCGTGCTCCAAGGAGCCCTGGGATGGAGCTAAGGAGCCGCAGGAAGAGGACAGGGAGTCCTGGAGAGCCATGGTGGTACAGCCTGCCTCTCCCAGCCACACACCCCGTCCCTGAGGTGGAGTCGGGGCTGAATCTGAGGCGGGGTGGCTGTTCTCCCCGTCCTCTGTATCTGTCGGCTGAACTGAGGTGGGAGGGGCGGAGGATTGCTGGACACAGGGTCGGTTACACACTGCAGCAGCCACAGTGAGGAACTTTACTGGTCCGTTGTGAGCGTGAAGGGATACCATACCTCGACCTGAAACACAAACAGTCATCTAAATATTCACTCAAGAACTTTGACATTTAATCTATACTGAATCTGTAAAGAGCAAGAGAGATAGAACTGCAAAATCAACTTGTTAGCAAGCATCATCTACAAACCATTAATTGGAAGTTATTTTCAATCATCAATAATATGAACATGTTTGGGTTCAGCCTGTTGGTGTGACAAAGAAAACAGTTTGAAAATCCCACAATCACCTCTAAAAGATTGTGAAACCCTTTTAGAGAATATTTCTTTCTTTTCATAATCCAAACAATGTCATGATTAGCCATTAGAAAATAATCCCAACATAGACGATATGCATAGGTTCAGTAGAACATGCAATACAGTAATGTTTGAGTGTTACCTGTGACTTTGGGGATCCCCTGCAGTCTGGGAACAGAGAGGGCCACAGTCACCCCAAGGTTGGTCCCTACCAGCAGCAGACCATGACAGACCAGCAGACTACTCACTGACACTCTCTGGTTCCCTTTGAGGAAAAACAAAAGCAGAACATTGATGTCATCATGCAGCAATTAGGTTTATTGTAGCCTAAAAAAAGGAGAAATATTTAGAGAAACATTTCATGTTGAACATGTTCTAACACCACGGCCTGTAAGCTCTTATAATCGTGATCGGTGCTCATGCAAACTAGTAAAATCGGAAAAGGGCACAGTTAATGGACCACTTGAATGCAGTGTGCAGGAGGATAGGAGGGGGGCGTATCATTTTGAGTAGGGGTATTTATACAGCAACCATGTTCAGCTGTTATTTGTCTCCAGGGCAACGCAAAGAGGAGGCTGAATGAAAGCAGCTCTTTTCAAGTGTGTGAACACAGAAAATGCTCCATTATAGTACTTTGAGTCAAACAAACAAACACAAAAGTGTTATGTAACAGAATGAGTGAAGCGTAATGCTGTAATTAAGCAAGGAGCTCTGCCTCTGCTGAAGCAACAGGACAATCAGACCTGACCTTTTTCTTTCCCTTCTGGTTTGAAAAATCACTTAGCACTATGAAAGCTTCGATTGTTGAGTTTAAAGCCTCTTAAAACAAGGATACAATAAAATCAGGCCTGCTGACATCTCGCTGTGTTAGGTGACCTATTATGTGGACTTTGGCACTCAGACTCAGACGTCACCACATAGGAGCTTTGTTAGGAATAAGCTGCACAACAAATGGTATCTGGTGACACATTTGTATGACTGTTATAAGAATCTTGGGTTTTTGAAAAAAAAAATGTCTGCCCTTCTATGTGGGAGGTGAGACTGTCATGAGTCATTACTGCTGTAGCAGCTTGACTTGAGTTTCCTCCCTTAAAGTAATCCTCTTGGGCTTTAGGGAAAAAATTACTGCCAGTCTCTCTGTCTGACCCCCCTCACTAGAGCTGACCCCATGCATGTGGCACACATGCCAAACTGCCACACTTCCAGGAATCCTGCCAGATAAGCAGGCAGGTACAGTTAAAGACTGCTCCTTCATTCCTGACCACATGTGCTTCTAATGAGGGCCTAGAGTTAGCAGATACACACAGTCTGCCAGTCGGGGGCCTTGCTCAACTTCCTCTTTTCATAATATTTGGAGTTCCCCACCCAGAGGGTGAACTAAAATAAACCCTGAGTGAATGTCAACACGGCCTAGCTCTTGCCCTGATCCTACACCAGAGCAACACTTTGATCTGCACTTAGTCCTGACAACCAACAGCAGGAGGGAGGGGCTAATCCCAAACATTACAATAATACACTGTGTCAGCCATTTGATACGACTACAAATAACTCTGATCAGCACAATGTGAACAACGATGGTTTTGGTTACTATAAAAGGAATTCACATTTTCTCTTGCAGGACTTGAAACAAGTACAAAATGTCAGTGTCTCATGATAAAAACACATATTTGACTGATGGCATTATTGTTAGCATAATGATGCGACCAAGAGTTATGTTAGTAGTTTTTGAGGATGTACTAAGGTGGCAGTGCTTTAGCTAAATGCTAGCAATAATAACTATGCGTACATGCTGATCATGCACATTGTACAATGTTGATATTTGAAGTAAAATTTAGATAGCGTACCAATATTTGCTTATTGTTATTAGATGTTGATCAAAGTGACTAGAATTCATTCTCTTTTGGGTAAGTTTTCTTTAGGAAACTATTCAATATTTGTTAGAACAACACGGTATAACAAACTGTGAAAACAATTAAATACTGTTGGATCTGGATGAAATATCAGGGAATGAATAAGGTCAGGTGACTTGATCCTCTGGAGAATAACAGTGTCTGTATACAGTTTCATACAAATATATACATTTGTCATTGAGATCCAAACTGCTGAACTGACTCAGTGACACCTGGTATACCTCACTTAGTATGAGAAATTCTACTTGAATCTATTTTGTCTTCATAAGAGCATTACAATTCGACAAGTTCTCACTGGAGCCTTGTTTTTATGTTCTCCTTCATCCAGTCATCTCAATCACTGTCCCTCTGCTGTAGTGGATGTTCACTCATTAAAAGGTGTTCCTTCAACATTGGGATGTGTACAACACTGGTGGCGGTCAAACAAAGCAGAGCTGGAGGTGTTATTTACCGACCCCCCCCCCCTTGATGTTTGTCTCCCATTAGGCCATGCATGGCTGCATATGTAGGTCACAGAGCAGCAGACAAAGGCAGACTAGACCCTCAGAACCGGGGCCAGCCAGATAACCAGCGTCCTCTGAGACATCATCACAGCACAGGCCGCTTTGATGGAGGACCACCGCTCTTTGAAGTGCTTAGGAACTTGTTTTTACATTTAAAACTGAATTTACACATTTCACGCCATATATGTATATTCATACTATCCATATTAAGACTTGGGAATAAAAAAGAAAAAGATGTTTTAAGTGCACAAGGCAGAATTATTAGTAACAAAGTCACTTTAAAACATGAGCAGTATCAGGCTCTTCAATAAACACATGCTATGAGTGAGAAAATGACTACTATTACAGGATATTAGCCCCCACTGTCTAATATGCTTGGACTTACCAGAATTGCTCCAACATGTTTGAACATGAGAAGAATAACCCCCACTTCAAGCACCACCTGCATTTCAACACAGCACCATTCATAGAGGCATTAAGACTGAAGACGACGCCCCATGTCTCCCTTTCTTTGTCTGATGGTGTGTTCTGTGGACAAGCCCAGATTGCATCAGGATATGTAATATCCCCTCACAATGCTGTGGACTTCCCGGATAATATGCTTATCAGCTTGTACTATGTTTAGCCTCAGCTCAGTAAATGTGTGTTAATGTAGCAAAGCAATGCAGATGAAAGACCAATCACATCGATAGCGCACAGTCCCTCCTGTCCAAACTGTTAGGCCGGCAGTTTCAATTACATCAGAGTTTGTGCAGAAACAGCACATTTTTTTTGGTCTCATTTTGTTCCACAACAGAGGCCAGCAGAAATAAACCCAGCTGTGGAGGGTTCTAGAAAACGCACGGATCACAACAGACTACAACAAGGGCAGCGTGCACGTGGACTTTATATAGGAGTGCTTTTTAAAACATATCAAAACAGAAACCTTGTTGGTGATTTAAATGTTTAAGCCGACTAACATTCCATTGAATGAATAGTGTTGTCAGAGGAAGTGAGCTCTTAATGGCGAGACCCAGAGGATGAAAAGCTTTCATGTGTTGTGGTTGGTCCCAGAACCGGCTTCCTCTGAGGTTGCATGGATTCTATTAGCTAATATGGATCGAGAGGTCCCAGAGCAGGCCGTTTATCATTCACATCTGTCTCAGAAAGAGGCCTTCCAATTGTAACTGTAAACAGAGGGTATCAGAAAATGATTCTCCCACAAGATCAAGTGAAGGCTGGATACTCCAATGTTGGTCATCTCTTACATTTTCACTCGAAAAACGAGGCTTGTAGATCTAGAGTTTGTTTAATGGCTAGTGCAGTCCATAACTCCTGTGTCTCTGCAGTCAGAGGCATGAAGCTGCATAAATGCTGTAAATCACTGTGCCAAACAGAACAACTTGTAGCCATGGTTACAACAAGCTGTGAGTGGATGTTGCAGTTTGTTGCTGCTCCAACAGCTTATGAAGATTTAAAACCCTCCCATTTGAGCTTAACATGAGCTATTACACAGGACTTCACGGTCTGTAAGTAAAAGGAGATGAAAAGAGTTACTCTGATTTCTACACGCAGTTATTCTGTCAGAAGCCTTCTCAAATGTTATTACTACCTCGTGGCAGTAGTAGAGAAGTCCCTCTGAAGACAAAATGTGCATGCAGTCTAAGCAGAGCTGCGCTAGCTAATGACAGCGCTGCTAATGATGCCAAAGATGAGATAGCATAGAACAACCGCAGGCTAGTCATTAGCTGCAGACCTCAACACACAAACATTAAACAACAGCTGTCATCACAAAACAAAACTCCCATCAAACCTCATTTCACTCTGAACACTCTGCACAATCCAACTTCAAGAGGAAAGCAAAGAGTCTAAATGTCAAAAAACATTTGTGTTCAAACTTCAAAGAAAACATTACAGAGAATTCTGACAGTGCACGCTAAACCAGAGCTGTCTGCATGACTCAGCATGAAGGATGAAGAGATTGAGAGCAGCAGCGATGGGACTGAACAAATCCCGACTTCAGACCAACAGAAGCAATCTCCACTTCACTAGAATCATTTTTATTTTTTTGGGCTGTGAGTTTTTGGGTCAAGCTGATGTAACACAGCAGATTACAAGATCCGAAGCAGCGGGCCGCTCTGATGACTCCAGCCGGGGATGATTGCCTCCCTCAAAGTAATTTCACTTGACCTGAACATCCTCAGCGACAATGTTTGGCTTAAATGCACATGGCAGGAAATGCTGCACATTATAATTTACAATATCACTGAATGTGATAACTTTTTACCAGAGTAACAGAACTAATGCTGTTGCTATAATCCCATTCTGTGTTTTGGATTGATTCAATACCCTCCTATGTTTTGGACACACGCTCTATATTAATTTTCAAAGCCACTGAAACAGGCATTTATCTCGACAATTAAAACTCATCCTGTGTTTCCTGGTGAAATATTGCTCATTGTCTTTGACTTTGTTCTGCACATGTTACAGCCTGTTATAGACTAGTTTACATCTGCAGTCAGACATTCACAGCTTACCTTCAAGAAGGTAACCTTTCATCGAGTAATGAAAGTCAAGAAAATTGCTCATTCAAAGCTCAAACTGCCCCCTGTCTCATCAGAATCCCTGCACCCACTACTCATCCTATACTAGATGTGTCAAATGAATCTCCCATGTTACTCCTGAATTATTATTTTTATTTTAATCTGACTCCTGGTGATGTCTAACAAGGCAGATAACGCTGTTCATTTTTTTACAGGTCATGTCATTGTCATTAAATAGTTGGTGTTAGCATTACAACCTCATTAATTGAGGTTACTTGTGATGAATATTAACATAACAGCAAGTTCAAAAGACAGCTCTAAATCTTTGGGAACAGAAATACATCAGATAGCTGAGAAATGTTATTTAATGCTGAAATCCACAAGTTTCAGTAGAAGCCTAGTGGCTAATACGCTTAGTATTTTAATGTGATGGTCTCTGAGTTGTAAGTTGTCAAAAGGACGTTCAAATATTTGTTTTCTTTATCTACAAGAGAAGTATGAGCAGTGTTATGCTTGGATGACACCTTCTTTAGTGGAAGAGTTTCTGTTTGCGTGACTTGACAAGGTCAGGCAGTTCCTTTAACCAACACCATGAATAGTGTTCAAATGAGAGACTTCTGATTCACCGTTTAGACTGGAGGAGCCTTTTGAAAGACAAACCTGCCATAACAAGTGCTGACTGGATGAGCACCTACACTGATGTCAGCTTTTTTCTGTCAGGCAGCACTTTGGAGGTCATTGGACCTGCATCTCAGTCCACAAATAATGGGCTGTGTTTGAAAGTGTGTATTGGACTAGATGATCACAATGTCCATAATCACAAGAGAGAGAAAAAAAATCCCTCAGTGTTTTGTCAGACAGTTTGACACTTTCTAAATATTGAATTCCCAGTGAGCTGCAACGCTCACATGACTGACTGGCACTCAAGGGCAGAGAAAGAGAAGGAAGAGAGGCAGGGGTTGTTTGTGTGTATCAGAGAAATGTCTTCATTTTTTTTGACCCAATATTTACGATATGTTTCAATAAGATACGTTATGATACGATATACTAATCTTGTCCTCTATGGGAGATTTGTCTTGGACTCGAGACATTTCAATCCACAGTAAACCTTCTTCTCCGCTGGAAACTAACCTGGATGGATATTTTGTGTAGAAATTAAATCCATGTTTATCTTACCTGGCAGTGTATTGTGGACAGGAGTGGCTATGTTTATGTCCTGTAGGTGCTCCAGGGTCTCTGTGTGGAAAAGACGCAGAGTGGATCCAGAGCTAAAGGCGATCCAGATCCCCACCCCAGCCACCACCATGTGGGACACCACCATGCCCTCTTCTTGGTGGGCCTCCAGCTGCCTCTGGATGTGGGAGACAAGGCATGGTGACAAGCTTAAGCATTACCTCCAGCACATTTACAATACATGCAGCCAGTGGGAGAAAAAAATCAATAAGGAAGGATTTTCTTTTATTGGACGTTAGACTAAAACAAAAAAATATAAGCTTGCAAGTATGAGTGAAGAGCAGTGTGTTCTCTCCCCACTGCTCTTCTCCCTCTACACCAATGACTGCACCTCAGGGGACCCTTCTGTGAAACTCCTGAAATTCGGACCCAACCGGTGAACATCGGTCTCATCGAGGATGGAGACGAGTCTGCTTACAGACGGGAGGTGGAACAGCTGGCTCTCTGGTGCAGTCAGAACCATCTGGAGCTGAACCCAAGACTGTGGAGATGACAGTGGACTTCAGGAGAAGCCCCCCTTCACCCCCCTGAAGTGGACCTCCCACATAGACACAATCAGAAAAAAAGGCACAGCAGAGGATGTACTTCCTGCGTCAGCTCAGGAAGTTCAACCTGCCCCAGGAGTTGCTGATCATGTTTAACACCGCCATTATCCAGTCTGTTCTGTGCACCTCCATCACTGTCAGGTTTGGATCTAGAACCAAACTGGACAGACACAGACTGCAACCGACTATAGGGACTGCAGAAAAAAATCATTGGTGTCGACCTGCCCCCCATCCAGGACTTATACCAGTCCTGGGCCAGGAAATGGGCAGGTAGTATCACTGTAGACTCCTCACACCCCGGACACAAACTTTTCAAACTCCTCCCCTCTGGCAGGCGTTACAGAACACATAAGAACAGGTTCTTCCCTCAGGCTGTCACTCTGATGAACGCTAAACAGTCACAGAGTGTCAGACCTGTCGCGGTGAAATGACTCTAAACCAACCGTCACTGTGAATATATATATAATTTAATTTAAATGATCAATCTACACACACTTATTTATGTAAATACTGTAACTGACATCTTAATGGCCCCCATCTGTCACATAACTGCATTTTACTTCACCGAAGTTAAATGCCTTGTGTGTGTAAGCATACCTGGCCAAAAATCTGATTCTGATTCTGATTCCGATATGACTCTGATAGCGCCTTTAGCTCATTGTTTGCATACTGTTTGCATTAGGAGTAAGTGGATGTGTATGGAACTGTTGCCATGAGGTCTATAGGCAGTGGCTAAGTGGCAACATTGGGCGCATAAGAAGGTTTGTAAGATTCCAAAAGTAAAAAACTAACTTGCAGATCGACAAAGAAAGAGACAACTTTTGTTGTTATGTGCAAATTAATCTGAATTTGAACTGAATCTTAGCATGGAAACAAATAAACAGGGTTTTTTTTCATCACTTGTTACATAATCTTACTCCATGTTACATTACATGTAGCTGGAGTTATAATTGTCTAAAGAAAGTCCATTCACAGGTGTGTCAGTTTAGGGTTCTTGTAACATGTGGTGACGCAAAGCATGAAATGTAATATCAGTGCTAGAGTTCTGTGTTCACAAAATGTTACTTTTTATGTTTATCCTAAGTATTTATATTATATAAGTATAAGTATTTATTATACTTATATCAGTATAAGTATAAAAACAACAGGTTTACACCTCACCATTCCTGTCTCTCACTTACAGTCTCTACTCTGGACTAACTGTAAGTCTTCAGTAAGGAAAAAGGAGCGAGACAGGCAGGTGGTCCGACATAATGAGCTTAATGAGGCTAAACAGATTATGAGTGAGTGCATGTCAGACGAAGGTTACTATTCCTGGACCAATGGCAGGTGCTGCTATTCCCTAAAGCAGGCCAGAGCACACCCAGGGGTTATCATCCATATTTCAGGACATGGAACATGGAAACTCTGGGAAGGGATATGAGGCACCTTCATTTAGCAAAAGTTCTTTATGCTTTCAGTGATCCTCGGTTTGCAGCAGTTGGTTCAAACATACCATGAAATAAACGCTGCTTTTTTGTCAAGATATTTTAAGAGTTGAGTGACATACCTCTACACAATGTGTGTGGCTGCTGATGATGAACACCTGTCCACCTGATGACACCCAGAGGTGCTCCTCCACAGCCAGCATGGCCTTGACTGGGAGGACTCCCAGCTTTAGCACTTTAGGTTTCTCAGAGCTCCACAAGCCATCTTGAACAAACAAACAAAAATATATTAGCACCACAGTATTTCAATAAACAAAAATATTGCTTAAAAAAACATTGACATAATGCAGTTAAAGAACTGAAATCAAATAAGTTTGTGGAGTGTTGAGACATCAGCTTTAACAAAAACATTAGTACAAAGCTGTATTCAACACTTGAGTCTGATCACCGTTGTTAACTGTTTTTTTTTTGGTTTTTTTTAGTAACTGTTACTTAGAAAAGCAGACGCTTGCTACAGTAAGGATTGAGCTCTCATCACAGACTCAGGAGGCCCTTAATGTAATCTTAACAACCTGAGGAAAGAAGTCTGGTTATTTTGACGTCTGTCTGCTTCCTGTCCTGTGTTAAACGAGAAAGTAGAGGATAACAACTGAGGAAGAAGCTTAAAAGATACAAAAACTGCAGGCTATGACAGAGAAATCTACAAAACTGAAGATGACACATGAAGTTAGCAGAGCGGAAGATGGTATTGGAACAGTGGTGTTTTTAACGGACAGGAGAAACAAAATGTCCACAGACTCCAGTGTAGTACTTCACTGAATTTTTCTGACAAGTCACTGTTGATCTGAGCACCTTGTCTCCCTTCACCATCAGTGAAAAAGTTCAGTTTAATGAGAGTACTCACAGTTAGTTTAGCTCTTTTTATAGAGATTACAGAGTCAACCGTCGCAGTGGATGCAGCTCAAACTGTAGATTCCACTGAACTACTTGTTTAGCAGATGAAATAAATCCTTAGAAGTGAAATATTGATTTGAAAATGATCGTCTTCTGTAGTTCGTAGCTGTTTAATAAGCAGGATAATGTATAGTGAGCGGATAGTTATCAAGGCGAGACAAGCCACCTTTGCTTTGCAGCAGGGTCCTGCTCACCCTGTCAGGGTTCCATTCTGCGATAACAACCAGATCCCCATACACGATCCCTTCCATAACACACTTCTTCTCCTTTATTAGCTTTATTGTGTTCTTTTTTACCATTTAAACCTTTAGAAATGTTCATGCAAAGGTTAAAGAATAAGGTTTATAATGACATGGCAAACACAGTAGGAGTCACTCATTCTTCATAACTGTCATTTGAAAAGGTCGTCTGCATTTATATGACTCTGCTTGTGCTGGTGGAGTGGCCATTGATGGTTATCACAGCCTTCGCTATGAATATAGATGGGCTGTGAAGTGTTAGTCAGAGCTGAGCTCCATCCCACACACACCTCCTACACACTCTGTTCTACATGTGCCTGCACAACTACAGTGCCAGCTCTACTGCCATGTAACACCCCATGCTGTTTCTTTATAAATAAATTACAATTCTGCAAGTATAATGCCCACTTGTTTGGATTTCAATCAATGCCGTCATCAAATTAGAGGAAATTTAGGAAGATGCTTCATCAAAATAACACAGAAAAACAAGACCATGCATCAGTAGAAATGGCTCTGTGTTGAATACAAACTTAATTTCCTCGATATACCACATTCCCTAACTTAATCTAGACCAGGAAGCGAATGAGGCCTCACCAGTCGTGCTTCAGAGAAGGCACAAAGGCGGCTATTGAAGGCAGAGGTGCCATGTGGGGAGAAAGGAGAGATGTTCTTAGAGAGGTGCTTTATAATGACTGAGGAAGTAAGAGTAAGCTCCCTCACAGGGGCTAGCTGGGGTTAGCATTCCAGCCACGCTCTGTGTATGTTATTTTTTATTAATCACAGTGTGTAAGTATGTGAGCATGAAAGATCAAAAAGGAGAAGGAAATGAGCAGTGAAGAAAAGTAAAAGAAAACTGGAGTGCCAACTTTCAGTCTTATGTAAGTCTGCCCACATCTCTCAATTCTCTAAACTGCATTCCTCTATGTCAGTGTCAGCTGCACAAATCTCTCATCACAGTGTATGTGCACAAAAACTGAACATGTATTTGACAAGTAGAGTCCTTCTGATCAAATTAACAGCTTTGGAAATACCTCCAATACAGCCAAACAATCCAGTAGTTGGTGAAGTCAAGTAAGCCAATTAATGCACTGATCCAATAGGATTAAGTATTAGTAAGGGTGTCAATCAATTAAATGTTCGAATTGTGAAAAATCACAGAAGAAGCTGTGATTAATCATGATTCATCACAATTTTGAAATATACTCGTATTTACTTTTTTTAAATCTGAAAATACTCGAAATGTTTCCTATTGAAATGCAAATAAATCTACAAGCATCGCAACACAAATAGTTGATTAAGGATTTCGGCGTGTCACAATAAGATCTCAAGCGGGGCCCAGACCAGTCAAAACGACCTGAGCCAATCTAGCTCTTCACACACACACCACTATGCATACAGTACAGACGCATCTGTAACAGTACATCATGGATGCTAACACCACCCAGGCAACATATTTGCACTTTTCCTTAAAGAAAACAAATAGTTTACGTAGTACAACCGAAGGAGCCTCTTTACCAACTGGCATAGATGTTCACTTTCTGAAGTGACAGTTCAGAAGCCAGACTGCATAAACTATGTCTCCACATGCTTTTAACAACTCATATTCAAAGTGTGGCCTGCAAAGTGGCTCATTAGAGACTTCCAAAGATGAACTGATTTGAGGTCAATAACAATGTGACATTAGCAAACAACAACAGTACAGTGCTAGCAATAGTTAGCAAGTGTAAAACAATAGTTAAAACTAGCAATCAGTGTTTTCATAATACATAATGAAAGGCTATGTAAGAGGATTAAAAACAGTAAAAAAAAGAAAAGAAGAGAAAACACTTTCATAATAGTTTCAGTCCATAACTGACATAAACGTTTTGTCAACATTTACATAAGGGACAGTAACATACAGCAGTTATAATTCAGTTACAATAAATATATTTTTATCATTTAAATTTCATTGCAAGGCTTTCTGGTATCAACTGTTTCTCAAATTAATGAATTTCCCTCAGTATCAGGAAGTAAAAAATTGTATCAGAACATCTCAATGAAAAAGTCAGCAGGTCATTTATGCCAAGAAAGATGTAACTCATTACCCATAAGTCACAACCCTCTCAATAGGAAAAAGTCAATGCTTTATGATAGCATTTTAGAGGAGCAATATGTTCTGACTGTCTGACTATGACGTGTGACCTTTGTCAAGTCACTGCCTCCTTCTGTCTCCATCACTGACACAGAATGGAACAGAGCAAATAGCAAGCATGGCAGAATGAGGCTGAGCCAGCTTCAGACACGTTGCATCTTCTGCAGGATTACATTTCCACGCAGGATAACTCAGCACTGACGCTGTCTGAAGACAAAGCAGCATTTTCCCTCTGCCTTGTCACTATTCACTGGGAGGGTCTCCTTTGATCAGCTGACATTTGAACATCAAAGAACATAAGCTGATCATTACTCTTTGCTCTGCTTGCTTTCTTCTCTGCAAACCATGGGTCTAATTTGAATGCTAACAGGGGGGAAGGGGCTGAGTCTTCCACAGTGACAAAGTACTTGAGCAGCATTATAACAAGAGATGCAGGGACCAAACTATCCTGAGTGAGTCATCATTTTAGCAGCAGGCTTCATGTTCCAGTGACAGAGCTCTGGATGTGAAGAAATCAAACTGGGACTAAGATGAGTTATGACCAGGGTTTGATGAGACGCATCTCTTTGAACTTCTAGTTACACCAACAGTGGAATACTTACTGTGCCAGCGTGTAATAACTGGTATGTCAAATAAAAAAGGGGAAAGAGAGGGGACATGTGCATCAGAAGTAATGAGTAGCTCAACAGTACATTCCTCAATGGTTGCGTACTAACATACAGTTTGTTTCTCCAGGCAAACTGTAGCTCATTGGAAGAATGTGAGAACATTTTTCAACCTGTGTTTCACTCCTCGGGCCATTTTTCAGTCTTTACATCTTTGTCACTATCAGTTTTTCTGCAACACACCATGGCTGACAGAGCAATTTAACAAGGCTAGAAATTGAGCAGGAATACCATCATTAGATTTCCAATATACCCGCGGAGGAACTTTTGAGTCATATTGAGTCATATAAGAGCACGAGGAGGGAAAAAAATGTGTGACTGAGGTTATAAAAAACAAACCTCAAGCAGTGGTTGGATCACAGGGTAGTGATACCAAAACTAACATTAGAGAGCCAAGAATTAAAAGGAGAAGAATGTTCCTCTTTTCCTGTATCTACCTATTTCAGCGTGCGATGCGATGCATAACAAAAAGCAGACAGAGACAAAAAAAGAGCACACAGACGGGGAGAGAGGAAGCTCAGAGACTCTCTGTTTGCACTTGCTATGAAAACCAATCACAGATGGAACAAAAACACAGAATGCGAAAGATTGTGGGAAGAGTGCAGCCTGAATTCTTTCCTCCAATGTGTCTGTGCCTGTCAGGAAGGGAAGACTTTAAATAGGTCAGCGCTAACAGATTGGTTTCTCCCAGACAACCGAGCAAATGGAAACAGAACCTCAACACAGAGCAGAGGAGACCCCTGACCTGGAGCTTCACCCTGAACCGCTGACTTACAGACCAACGGCAGCGGTGACTCAGAGGGAGAAGAAAAAACAGTTGGAGCAATGCACCTTAAAAAACAACAACTCAGCATTTGTTCGACCCAGAATTACCCTTCAGGGTTGCAAGATGTGAAGCTGTGTTATTTTTGCCTCAAACTCTTGAGCTTTTTAACATGTTCAATGTTCTGCCTACGATTGGAAAAAGCATCAAATGTGGTGCAAAAGGAGTTTTCTAAATGATGTCAGCAGAGGAGTTTGAAAAGTTACTAAATTAATAAAGTTAGAAACTCCGTAATCAACAGACTACTTATTCATGAAAGTGGCCAATTATGGTTAAGGCCTCTGGAACAGACTAAATATTGAAGTAAACACTGTGAGCCTACACAGTTTGAAAACCAAATCTATTTAACTCATTAACTCACTGAATGCATTTTCTGTTCCACACACTAACAGTGATTTATCCTCCTAACTGCACTAATTTCAGCCTTTTAGGAGTATCAACAAACATTGAAAAGGTTCAGTGATGAGACTATAACAAGTTAAAAGCCCCCCCCCCCCTCCTCCTGAAAGACGAACCTTGTGATCTGGAGTACACAGCCACAGAGCCGCTGACCAGGCCGGCATACAGACAGTGCTTCTTGTAGACCAAGCTGGTGACGGTGGACTTGTCAGGGGTGAAGAAATGCTGCAGACGGACTTTCTTGGACCGCTGGCTGCTCTTATAGACAATGATGCTACACAGGGGAGGAGACAAAACAACAAACAGACTTCATGTATTTGGAATGAGATACCAAGAGATTATCACTTTTCTGTTTTGTTAGGGGGATATTTTGCAGAGTTCGTGGAAAACCGTGCATCATTTGACACCTTGAACGATATTTCAAGTTCATAAACTTCAGTGTTTGAACCCTCTTTAATGCTAAGTCATGTTACATCGTTAAAATGACTTCTTGACAATGCACTTAGTATAGGGGTCCTTGTTGGCAGAGCCTTTTATTTGAATTATAACTACTCAGAATGATTTCATTTTTAACTACTTAGATATGCGTCATATCAGATGTCTATGATGCACGTGAAGGTAACAATGATTAAAATATCAGAGCATCATCTCAGGCTTAACAACAAAGCTGAGATCCGGGCTGATTCAAGGCAAAAGCGTTATCGCCTGTCGCCCAGGGCGCAGAGATCTCGAGGGGTGGTGCCTTCAACACTGAATGTTTTGAATATGGTCGCTCATATGATGTGAAATATAAGCAAAGTGTCAGCATCTCTGCTCTGCTCCGCTCCCATTCATCACTCCCTCTCTCTCAGTCGCTCGACCACTCACTGACTCAATTTGCTCAACACTACACTGGTAACAGCGGGAGAGGTGACAGAGTACCCAGGTACAGGAAGAACTCTGCAGTTAGCCTCTGTTTTATAACAGTTGTACATTTCTCGTCATCGAGAACAGTAGTTCTGTTGTTTAACTAACCAGCCAATACTCGTCTGATCCAACTGCAATCCTGTTTGTTAGACAGACAGCAGCATAAGTTGGAGAAACAGTGCAGTACTACACTGTAAGATCTGTCGGAAAATGTGTTCTGTGAGTGTCTATGGGTGAAGAAATAACTGCTACTAATACTAATAATAGTAATTTGCTTATATTAGCACTCTGAAATAAGACAAATAAATATGTGCACAGTTGTCTATATAAGTAATGTTAATTGGAAGAGAGGCTGCATTACCTTTTTTGAAAAATGGCTCATTTGACACAAAAAGGTTGCCGGCCCCTGACTTAGTAATTATAATACTTTTTGGGAACTTTTTTCAAGAATTGATTGAACTTATCTAAAAATGTATGATGTCCCCCCCCCCGATGTTTGTTTATCAGTAAAAAACATCTATAAATACTACACAGCTTTTAAATAATCTAATATACCACACATATTTTACATATATAAGCCGCAAGACTGTTCTCTCTACAAATTACAAACTGTGGTGCACGATTCCTTTTGCTCAAGATAATTACCTTCTATATTTTACATTACATTAATGGAGAAACACTTTTTGAAGTCCCCTGTGTGCTGTACCTGCCCTCCTCCATTCCCAGACAAACACTGGGGGTATCACTGGCCCTCGTTGTAAGGATGTGGTGTTTCAGGGCCCTTCTCTCCGTTCTCCTGAGGCTGCTCTGCAGGGACATAGGCCATGCAGAGGATACGAGACTCCACATTGAAACACTCAGTCACCTTCGGGCTGGAGTTCTGCATGCAACTATAGCGAGCTGTCCCATCTGGTTGGTGCAACTAGCAACCTGTACAAGAAACATTTTGATTTTGAGATACTTTAATTATGTGATTACCTTGTTATAACACACCAATTTACAAATACAATTTCATACGAAAAAGACTCATTTGGCTATGTTAAAGAAATGGACATCTTCATATTTAAACATGTTGATATTTCAGGTAAATTCTTAATATTACTTCACCAAGAACATGAGCAGCTATAGGGTGTTTGTTTCTAACAGAACAAAGTTTTTCCCTGATTGTCAAAACAATCCGTTAGCAGTGATTACCATGGCCATTACACTGATTGTATTTCTCATGTGTACATTATACATTTAAAAACATAAACTTACCATCTGCACTACTAACTAATACTTAAAAAAAACCTCTCTGCCAAAACTGACTATCAGACACACTGAGAAAGTGGTCCAGCCTTATTAGTGTTAGCTGCTTAAAATGAGTACTGTCAGAACATTTCACAGTTAACACTTTCAAAAGCCACTCAACACATTTTACAAGTCAGAGTCAACTCAAATATGAGTTCCATCCACATGTTTGTAGGTATCTGTAGAAAGCTAGAAATGGGATTTTTGTTGTAACTGTTGAAATGTTCTTTTCTGAACAGTACAGAAGATGTGTCTCACCCAGACACAGCCATGGCCCACGACAGGAGTGTCCGCTGTGCTCTCCATGTTGATGTGGGGCTCTGGATTATGAACAGCACATTCCACCTGCAGCAGAACAGGAAGAAACAAGAAAGGGTGAAGAATAATTAAGAAACAGGTCAGCTGATTACTTGCACCAAGTCAACAGGCGGACATAGTAGGAGTTCACAGAGTGAATAAGACAGTTTCTGGTCAGGATAGAACCCTGAAATATAGGAACAGGCCTCCAAAAGTGAATGAATGAATAAATCTTAACAAATAGCATGGATGAAATAAGGCATTCTGTCTAATCTACCTACCCGTCTATAAAACAAATAGTTCAGCTGACATTATGTAACCAAGAATTCTTATTTGGCGGCTAATGCTCCAAAATCATCACCAGAAAGGGTTTAAAAAACACAAGTGTTGATAAGAAATCGCCCATATTTTCTGCCAGTATCCACAAGTTTAAGATGGAAATGTCTTTTAAGACAATACGATGATAACTTAACTGCATCTGATATGGGCTTTAAATCTCAAAACCATGCGGGGAGCGACCTTGGCGTTGTTAGCACCACGCTCTAACCAACTGAGCTAACCGGCCCCACACATGTCAGCTATTTTTTCCAGAAGTCAGTGTTTCCTGGTGAAATGATCTGATTCCATGTCACAAATCTTTTCTGGTGTTCAGCAAAAACAAATACACACCTACAGTAAATACACATAAAACTCAGTAATGGTTACTGACTTAACACTGGCACAGTTGTGACCCTGATGATAAATCTGGTCATATGTCAGTGCTACAATGTGAAACAGCTCTTTCAAAGTAGGTTAATTGTCCTTTATGGTTAGGATAGAAACCTGAAGATCTCTAAGAGGTTCAGGCCTCCAAAGTAAATGAATAACTCTTAACAAATAGCATGGATGAAATAAGGCATTCTGTGGGCATTTTAATCTACCAACCCGTCTATAAAACAAATGGTTCAGTTGAAATTATGTAACCAATAATTTCTTATTTGGCAGATAATGCAAAAAAATCATCATAGGACCCTCTTTCATTATTCAAAGGACACAAAGTCAGGTAGTAATCACCCATATTTTCAGCCAGTATCCACCAAGTTTGGATGGAAGATGGAAATTCCTTATTATTCCTTATCCTTACATGCCTTATTACTTAAAGGGGCACTTCACCCATTTGCATTAAGCTTCGTATCATTAGAAACTTATTTTTGAATGGTCGTGCATCCTGCCCTCAATATTCCCCTGAGACGGGACATCTTTGTATTTCTAAGTCTGAAAAGAAGCCTCCGATGACGCAAAAATCGTCATTTTGCATCATTGGAAGCGGTTGCGGTTAGCAGGGTGAAACTACAACGCTAGTTCCTCATACTTTCGACCACTGAAGCTCCAGACCAATCACAGATCAGTGGGTGGGACATCACTCCCAGAATCGAAACTTAATTTCAATCGAATCGGATGTTCGAGGCTATCTCTACGAGCCGCAGTATAACAGCGTGGCAGCTCCTGCAGACAGTTGGCGGCAGTGAGGAGGAGGAGCCGGGTGCTGTGCATTCTGGGAGTTGTTGTCTTTCATCCACATGAGCCAAAAAGACACTTTCTGCCTTTTCTCAGTCAAGAAGGCACCAACTTCAAAACTTATTTCACATTTATACTTCATATATGACCCAATGTCAATACAGATTCATGTTTCAACGGGTGAAGTATCCCTTTAACTGGATCTGATCTAATACAGTTGTCAAGTATTAGACACACACACAGAAGATAATTGATAAAATAAAGATTGGTTCACCAAGAAGTCTTCTCAACAATTGTTATTGATGGCATCAGCATGTATGGTATTTTGAAACATCTTGTCTGTATTAATACTGTGCATGACCTATACTAAACAGTTCATGTGACGTTACGATGAGACAAACAACCTCTCAAAAGCACGTGGCCCGTACGGGGATCGAACCCGCGACCTTGGCGTTATTAGCACCACGCTCTAACCAACTGAGCTAACCGGCCTCATACACAAGCTACCATTGTACAGCCAGTTTTTCAGTCTATGTATGTCATGTAATCTGACTCCATGACTAAATTTAGTGTTGTGTCCTGGTATACAGTCACAAGAAAGAAACATATGATCATCAGGCTATGACTTGTTTTTCTGAAGAATAATACATTATAATACATTTTCTCTCCACTTAGGAGGAGGTAACTGATGTTTAATTTCAATGAATGCAAACAGAGTTGGTACAATAACTCATGATAAACTAGCCACATGTCAGATCTAGAATGTGAGCACTAACTCATACACTGATCAAATACATGACTTTGACAATAGCACCATAATGCCATAAATAGCCAAGCTTTAGCCTACTTTTCCTTTTTGACCCACCTACATAGGGAAATACAGTGATGAGTGAAGAAACTAATCTAACGTCAATCCTGTGTGTTATTAACTTCAGTCTTCTAAAGCAGAGGCCATTCTCATGGAAAAATGATCTTCACCCTCCACATCAGATGTGATAACTCAACACATACTCTAAAGCACAGGCCAAAACTGACCCTTTTTTTTCTTTGGCAGTAGTTTATTTGACAGGGTGTTTTAAAATGAAATCACACTTCTAATTGTAATCGGTTTTGTCTGTGATCATCAGGATCTACTATGTCTTTAGACTTAGAAAACTTGATTTATCCCAAAGGGCAATTCAGTTACAGTCCATCCAGACCTTGGATTTCTTATTTGGCAGCTAATGCTCCAAAATGGTAGAAGAGGGTTGATAACACAACACATTATTTAAGGGACACATGGTCAGGTAGAAATCTCACATATTTTCAGCCAAGTTCAAGATGGCAAATCCTTATCAGACAACACAATGATTACTGAACTGGATCTATTATGGCCTTTAAATCTCAAAATCATGTGGCCAGTACGGGGATCGAACCCGCGACCTTGGCGTTATTAGCACCACGCTCTAACCAACTGAGCTAACCGGCCCCACATGTCAGCTATTTTTAATTTCCTGGTGAAATGATCAGCATAAACTTACAGAAAAACAACAGACAGAGAGACAACAAACAAAACTGTAATTTGTACATTGCTTTATCTTATGACTGTGACGCACTTTGGTCAGCTCATGCTGCTGTTAATGTGCTTTACAAATACATTTTACTTGACCTGACACATTGGAAACGGATTTCTAAAATAACTTTTGAGCGTGTGGAAAAATGTATTTCAAGACATCCAACCCTTTGATTATATTAGTCATAAATAAAGATCCTTAAATGCTCAAAAAGTATTCATGTCATCTCTGCTATTAAATAATGCACTTGAATATAAATAGCAGATTTAAATTATACATTCCTTTTTGTTGAAAATATTTTTACAGTTTATCAACTCACTAATTGACGGTGTCCTTTGCAGCATCCATATATAATGGCATTTAGTTTGAGATATCCAAGATTCCCACAAATTCATGTTTGATATCCAGAAAGAAAATTATAAATATTTTCTGCAATATAATTTGAACATATAAAATGTCTGACTTTGACTATCTCAATAAACTAAATTTAATATCAATTACATAACTCAATGATCGAACCCTTCTCATATATTTGAAAAAGGAATGTCTCCCAACAACTGTACAATTCAACACTTGGTGCAAATCACTGATTAACAAATTAGGGAGATGTCTCACTCAATACTTTAGGAGCTACTACGATGTGAACAACTGACCCAAATACAGTACTGTAGGGCTCAAACCAGTGGTCTTTGAAAAATTATCCCCCCCAGCTCGAACCAAATGAGTGAACTCAACCAGGATTATCTGTAATTTCCCATCACTAGGCAGACATATGTAGAAGGAAAATGTCTGACCTTGAACTCCTGTAGTTTTGACATGACCACAGGCATTTGCCGGAGCAAGAGAGGATGCTTCTGCTTTTTGATGTGATTCCCATCATCCTCCGCATAGAACCAGCCCTGCAGGTTGTCCTCCTCTGATGCGAATACAAATGCAAACACAGTTAGCACTTGATTTAAGCATGTACAGTATTAAGAATTAATCCTACTTCTTACAAGAAAGCTCACTTCAAACTAAACTCTTGTACTAGCGCCTAATGCTGAAAGTGTTGCACAGTGATTTTACAAAGGTAATGGATAAAAGAGATGCATACATCAAGAAGTCAGTAAAGTTAAGCTTCTTATTGTATAAATACATGAATACAAAGATAAAATAGAAGAACAAATTGAGCATCTTAGTAGGAACATTGACAGCTAGGCAGTGATCTGATCCGTACCTAGTGCCAGCTTTGCCATCTGCAGGTTACTGATCCATGACTGCTTGACTGCTGGGCTGAGAGTATTGAACACTGCACTGAAGTAAGTGGGTTTACCCGACCTGCAATACACAAGAAAAAAAATACTCAAAAAAAAAAAAAAAATGTCAAGCTTCTGCATTTGAATAGTGCTTTTTGGACATATTTTGTGAATTTGAAAAGCTTTTAGGAGAACTTTTGTTTTGGGTCGATTTTGTACATTTGACCTCTCTTGTTTTGTTGTATTTTTTTTTCTGAGGAAGAATCTCATCCTGTTTTATTTTAAATGTTTAAAGTGTAACTCATTGTGAATCATGGAGAATTGGAATCAAAGACACGCCCAGCCTGCATGCTGCTAATCCCATTTACACAGACTTGGTGGCAACAGTGAGACACATTCAAAATAACTCTAAACTAAAAGTAGTACAATTTCCCACTGATGGTCTTGTTTGCTTTTGTAGGTCATATAGAGGTTTCAGAAAAACCTATTCTGTATCATAACTATCTACAAGCCTCTAAAAAAAACATCAATTACATCAATCTTTTTCTGAGGCTCAGTTTTCTCAGTCCTCTTAAATGTACTTTAAACATCAAACTGTGAATTAATGAGGTTTTAACATTTCTATTCATTAAAAAATAAAATAATAATGTCTCAACCTTTCCAAACTATAATTACACGCCCATGTTATATGGATGAAAATACACATTTTTAAGTTGAGCCAAGTTAAAAGACAGGAAGACAAATAGAGTCCATAAATCCATAAATCGTACATCCTTAAGAGTGTTCAGAGTGAATAACAGAAATGTATTTAAAAGACTGTTATGAATGAATCGTGCTGTGAGATGTGTCAACACTTCGGAAATCACAAAGGCCAGCATTTGCATTCTCTCAGGAGTCAAATTAATTTAACACATTGTGCACAAACAGTTCCAGTGATAGGCACCTTTTATAGTAAAATATCAAATACAGTCAGATAAAGAGAGCTTTGTCTGGTTTGTATTCTAGCCTGGGGGAAACATGAATCTGTCTATTCAATACAGACTGACGAGACTGACTGTGACAGAAATGTGATACACATCAATGTCAATTTTTGTTTCTACCAGCAGCTCATGTACACAAAAAGTGTGTGTTTGTTGTGTGTGCGCGCTGGTGTTATAAATCCCTCCTGTCTATGGCTGGTGTTGTGCTTTGTGTGATTTGGGATTTTAGGATCAGGGGAGGAATGACAGAGACACAGCTGTGTTTCCAAACATACCCGTGGATAATCTCACCAGCTAAGTGCTGCGGGGATGAGAGGTCGGGTGAGGAAGTGGAAGAGAGAGAGAGAATGTGAGTAAGCCATGACAAGGTGCACCCTTGGGGGACCACGTGTAAACTATAATAGTGTGTGTGATAAATGTGTGACATGATTATTTGTGTTCAGTAACAGCTGCAGCACTGAGCAGCCTTTGGTTGTTGGCACTGATGCACGTTACTATGTCCCTTGAGATTCATTCCTCAGATTAGAGCTGGTGGAGAAACTTGTTTATCCAAATATCCAAATGTACTCTAATAATCTCTCATAGAGCTCAAAGAACGCAGAGCGACTGAGAGGACAGCAGGAGAAAACAGAGTTACAAAGGGAATCTAGGATAAAGCAGTCGATGGGGGGTAGAAGACTAAGACTGAAGAGTGTAAACATATTGTATGTGCTGCCTGAAAGATAAATAAAAACAATGGTGGAATATGCATTAGTGATAAACACAAACTTGTCATGTTTTCCAGGCAGCTGGAGTTGGATCCGACACCGGTCAGCTGCCCTGATCTCTTCCTCCTTCTTCATGATGAGCCTTTGGAGACCTGATACCCAGTCCTGGGCCACTGCGGGATTTACATTCTGTACCCAAAGATATTAGAGAGACAGAAAGGGGAATGGGTGAGGGAAACAGATGTACTTCAGGGGACCACATCATGAATAAACAATTATCAACTAGAATCAACACATCTGTGCAAACATGTGCACATTCTGTTAAACATTTACAATTTATAACATCAGTTAAAAAACAAAGAAACTTAAAGGGATTTCCCTCCTTATAAGAAACACCTGTCACTCTTATTGATTTCAGCGTACATCCCAATGTCTTTGCAGCTAACAAATCACAATCCTTTTTTGGATTGGAAATTCTTTAATGTCCCTGAGCAGCAATTTGGATCTGCAACAGAGATCCAATACTGGCAATACACATAATAAAAACAGCACAAAGACATAACTCCATATAAGTCCTGTGGATATTATCATGATGGAGGTGAGCAACACACCTGTGTAATTGACCCTTTGGTACACGTAGAGATTTTGGATTGAGGTGTCTGGGGTATTCTTCAGCTGAGTTTAGTTCCTTTGAAGAATTCATTATTTGAAATTCTTTTTGACACATGTTCAGGTAGCTTTTGTAATTCTGATGCTGCAATTTGTAAGAAAATCACATTAAAGTGTCATTTGTAAAAAAAAAAAAAAAGAAGAATATCTTCCCTTTCAAAACTTGTTTCAAAGATGTATGAAGAAGAAATGTTCAGTGCATGTCTATGTTTAGCTCATGTGGGGATCATTTAGGTTTTGAAATTGAGTGTAAGTAGTGTACAGCTCACACATCTTGGCTCTGCTTCTTTCTTCCATTTCCCATCAACCCACATCTCTGAGAGCTGCTCTGTTGCCCTGCCTCCCACTCTGTTCCTGACAGACCTACCAGCACAGCACAAACACAGCAGCGCACACTCACGCTGTGTTCTGCAAAGTAAACCTTCCTCACAACAGTACACACAGGCTTGTGTGTGTGTGTGTGTGTGTGTGTGGCCGAATGATACGACAGGCTTGAACGGTGCAAATCGAGACTTAAGAGACTCCTAGTCTCCGAGAGACAAATTGCCCACGCTGGCACATTCCACAAGTTAAACATTATACGCCTCCATAACAGCCCAGCCCTTCTGGACGTCTGAAGGGAAACACGATGGATGTAATTTTAAAAGTCCTGAGGTACATTGGAGGAACATTTGTCAATGTCAACTTTTGTCAAGCTTCCAAGAATATTAACAGACAGTATAACTACTCCAAGATGTCAGACTTAGCCAAGTAACATAGAATACATGTCCTCCGTTATTATAAGTGTTTTCAATTTGACCTTTGACCCTCTCAGATGTGATAAAATGAAGCTTATCCAGATTTAATACGATGAATAATTATTTTTGTACTACTGTCAAGCTTCCCTCATGGGAAAATGAAGATTGTTACTTTAACTCAGAGCTTTGATCATATATTACCTGGTAATTGCCCTTGAGGCTGCAGATCATGCTGGAGATCTGGTTCACCAGGCTGAGGTCATGGATCAGGTTCTGCAGGTCCTGGTACAGCTGACCTGGGCCCATGTACAACTTGTCTGCAAAGAAACAAACCCCCCAAAAGAATTGTAAAAACAAAATGCCTTTTTTTATGCACAACAAATCATTTACAACTGATGCATGCAGGCTGTTCATACATGAAAAGATTAAACTGTCCAAAATTTAAAAATGATTATTTAAAGGTATATTTTCAACTCAAAGTTACGGTAACTGAGTAACTCTATAAAAAAGGAGGGTCCTTATGTGAGCTGGAAAGAAAAATGGCATAAGATAAGTAGCAAAGGCATTGAGCAGAGGTGTAAAAAGCTGGGTTCTGCTCTTATAGACATTTGGATACAACACCAGCAGTAATGATGGAGGCCAGTCTGATGAGAGAAGCACTTCATTTGGGCAAACATGGAACAAGATCAATAAAGGCCAATCAGTCAGGTTCCCACGGGGAGCAGTGTGGCAGCTCTGTAAACTTGGCAATGAATCACTAACTCACTAGTGTGCTTGTTCGTTCACAAGAACATTGTGATCTCATCATGTTAGCGTTCAGAGGCTGCATTGTATCTGTGTTTCTGCATGTCAGCACATACCATCCTTTCTATTCTTTACTACTGTAGTTATATCTGTATATGTGTATAATAGTTCATTAGATATATTGATCAGGAGGTATTGTTAGTTTTACATTTTGAATGCTTTTGACACATTTTTTGGTTGTTTGAAGTTTCAAATTCTTGTGCGAGGCAAGGTAGGAGCACAAGGCAGGTTTAAAGTTAAAAATAAAAGAATGAAAGCAGAGCACAAATGTTTGATTCATATTAATTTCATACACATACATATTTAAAAAAAAAATTGGATGACATGATGAATTGTTGATAAGTCTCTTTGGTAGGACATGATTTGTTTGTTCTTTAGAATGGTTGCTAAGCAACAGTATGACTGTTTGGTGGTCTTTTCCAATCAAAATATCATAACTCAACTTTCTGTGTGATGAGATTAGAGCTGAACTGTGTTATTGTTCTGTGTCAAAAGGAAACAAGGGTTTACTTTGTGTGCACACAGCCTGTCTGAACAGAATACAACCGCATGGCTCATCAAAGCTCTGGAAGGCCTTCTCTCTCCCTCCCTCCCCCATCTCTCTCTCCCTTTTTCAATTCAAAGGCTTTATTGGCAGGGAAGTTTCACAAACACAGTTTTGCCAAAGCATTAAGGCAACCAATATATTGTCAGATTCAATAAAAAAAACACAATTTCAAAGTATAAAATTATTCCAAATCTCTCTCTCTCTCTTTCCCAGTTGAAATACATTGGGTATACATGTCACTAAGCCAAATCATCAACAGAAAAAATATTGAGGTCATTAAATTAAATTGTTCATTTAACAATAAAGGACTCTCTAAAATCAAAACCTTACTGCAAACTTTATAGAGTACAGAATATTAGCTGTTGAGAGTGAGCATCAGGAAACAAATAGTTAAATAGCATTTGTCTCCTTGGCATTGAAATGTCCTGTTTGCTTTAGCCATTCTCCCTTTCCTCTCTCTCCTCCTCCTCCTCCTCCTCCTCCTCGTCGTCTTCTACCACAATAGTCACACAGAGTCTGTCTGGTGCTTCAACTCAA